AAAGCGTGGGGTGCTTTGTACTACATTTTTACACTAACTCAGCATTTCGGAATAGAAGTTAGAAACTCTATAACAATTGATATATTTATAGAATACGCCACGCTTTTTTACCCCAATGACATTAATTTTCTTGTTCATTTTATTCTTATATCAAGAATTGTTTTTTACTTTTTAGTTCGATTAACTGTAAGGCGTGTTTTTTAGTTTTTTTAAACTATAATTTCTTTTTAGGAGAAATTGTAAAATAATTCCTCATTTAGAAAGTTCCTCAAAGAGAAGAAAAAGCACATAATTTAAAATGTGGCTATTCGAAGAGCACTTTAAACGAGTGGGACCGGAAATCTCACTGGCACTAAGAAATCTTCGAACATTGTGAAACTAAATAAGAACTACTTAAGGTATTCTTAAAATATCACAAAGTTTGAAACGGAAAGTCTTAAGAAATAAAATGAATTCGTGGTTTGACAAAACCTGTTTGCTAGGATTCTCTTTGAATTGTTCATTCAGTCATTTCGAGACAATAAATTCGCTGGAGAATGAAAACTCTCATGTCTTCTTAAAACGACGAATGTAATTTTCTTCTTTAAAAAAAATTCGAATTTATAATATTAAAAATTTTAAAAAATGGGTATCAATGACATTTAATATCTTTATGTATAGGCCACCGTTAAAGTGTGAAATCCGTTATTTCATAGAATAACTAGGTATTTCATGAAATAATTAGACAAGTCAGTTAAAGTGTATAAAATTATTGAATTCTATACGATTTAACTAAGTATGCTATAGAATAACGATTACTTGATCGTTAAAGTATGAAATAAGGCACTCGCAAAATTCTTTGAATTGGTTCTAGTTGCTTTTATTTAGATTTTAGCTGCAATTCAAAGTGTCATCACAGCAATCCTTGCTGTAATAAATAATGAAAAGTAAAAAAAAAGGTATTTCATTAAATTTAAATTAATATTCTCTTACAATTTTGTTCCAAAAAATTTACACAATGCTTTTATGAAGCAACAGTTTTTGTTTCCAGCATGTATTTTTTTGATAATATTTAAATACAACTATTTCTGTGCAACATATACTCCCTTCCCCCCTTTCTGTTTAACTACTGAGCAACAATAAATTATATCATTTGTGCTTTTCCTTATTATTTATCAATTAATCATCCGCAGTAGAAATAAAATGTATTTTTTTTAGAGATTTTAGCTATTTGTAATGAATTAATTTATAAAATAACTTTGAAATTGTTCATTTTTCATTTTTTAACGGTCATTTAGTTATTTGATAGATTAACAAGGAAAAGTGTGAAATTTTTCTTCTATTATATATTTTAACTGAGTTATTTCATGAAATATCTAGTTATTCTGTGAAATAACTGAATTAGAACACACTTTAACGGCAACATATATAATGATGAGAACAAAAAAGATTGAGGGATCTCTTTTTCATTAAGGTGTTAGAATAATTTCTATACTAAAAATAAATGATAATGACACGCCAATAATATATTTACAATAATTTATCCTAAATTGGCTCATTTTAAAATAGTGGAAAACGCTATAAACACTTCCAACGCTTCTATAAGGATTACCACAAATGAAAATTTTGAAATCCGAACACAATCTACATAATTTGCGTCAATGAGTGAGTGTTTATTTTATTCGGCAATCCAAAGCAACACTTGGTCTATTGGGAAAGGACCTCGTAATTTTGAACCACGGTCAAGTGACGAGGATGACGAATGAGCTGGCACCACACTCTCCTAACTTCCACAGCACGCCAACGTGAGGACTTGAACCACGAGAGCTTTAAAGTACACCAGTTCCTCTACACGGCGGGTCTTCATAGGCACCAGAACTCAAACTCATGACACGCCGCCACAAGATCGTGACTATAACCACTCGGCTACAGCAGCCACCTGTTAGGGTGAGTTGAAATGAAATAATTTAAATGATTGCAATATTTAAAAAACATAAGATTTAAATTTTGTATTTGTTGTTGTATTGTTCTTATTCCTATTATTAGCTGGTAGTGTATCGTGTTTCCACGCCAGTCCGGGTTCAAATCCCGGACTGGGTAAGGTCGACTCAGCTTTTCATCCCTTGAATGGGTCGATAAATGAGAACCAAGCTTTCTTGGGAATTGAACACTGGGGGGTTTCGCGTCAAACTAACTACCTGATCGAAATTTCTGCACATGCACCCCAGCGCCTAAGATCACGTAAACTGAGATAGGCACAGTAGGCCTTGGCCCAGTAACGCACACAAAATTTTTTCCATAGTCGAAAGTCCCCCAACTCGTATCATACCTCAAGACAACACCAATTGTTTCTCCTGATTTTTGTCGATTTTGTTAACAAAAAACAGTAGAATATAGATTATTGAATTAATAATTAGCATTAATTAATAAAAAAATGTTAATTACATGAATTAAATTTTACGTTAGGATTATCATCAATCAAAAAAAAACCTCAAGGGCTTTGGGGTGGGGGAGTTCCAGACCCCTAGGACACCCCCTTGTGTGCGCCATTGCCTTGGACCTCATGGGCTGTTGCGCCACTGCGTTCAGTTCAGCTCCTTCTTTGCTTTTTTAATCAATTCAATTAAATTCACTTATCATATATTAATTATATGTAATTGAATTTTTGTATTTTAATAGCTTCTTGCATATTATCAATCATATTAATTATTATTATTGTAAATTAAATCAGACACTTTTAAAACAGTTTTTTTTTTTATTGGTTCTTGTTCACGGCCTCAAATTTCAATTGGTTGTAGTTAAGCTTATCAATGAGTTAGAAATTCCTCATTTGGCACAAAATTACAAGAATCGTCGCCAATACCTCTTTCATGTAGCTCATAGATTTTCAACGTGGGCGTTTGAGGTTTCCGGGGGGGGGGGGCAGTAAAAGACCCAGAAAAGATTAAGGGGCGTTGAGATGGCACGGAGGGGCTTGGGCAGAAAAACCAAATATAGTCTAAAAAAGACTTAAAAAACACGCTGATTATGTGCCAGCAAAAGTAAACTTTAATACTGTTTACCTTATGTTGATTGTATTTATTTAAATCATTCTATATCAGAAGTACAAAAATTATAATATTTTGGTAGTTCGGGAAGTGGATGTGTGAAAAACTTAAAAGATTACATCACATTCAGATCTACATTAAATTGAATGATACAGCGCATTTTAATTTCTGTAGTGCACGTGTTGTCTTTGTCTATGACGCAGTAGGAAAAATCCTTTGTCCACTGCATTCCATTACTTATATTATCCAAGAAACATAATTAAATGTCTTAACCTGGACCTGGTGTGATTCCTTAGAGGCTGAAACTGTCAATTTATATTATTTTGAAAGCCATAGTTTTTGATGATACGAAGTAATTCATAATAACCCCCTGCCTGTCTAATTCCACTCTTTTAAATGAAGAAGAAATCCAGCAGCGTTTCTATTCCAACAATATCCTATATCTGACTAAATTATATATTAAACATTTAAATATATTTGTGGCAATAGCTATTTCAGATTCGCAAGTAAAAAAATCGGAACTTTGAAAAAAACTAAATTAAAAAATATATTCTATTAATAATAGAATATTTTAAAAATTTAACTCTTGTTTTCACTATGTACACTTCTATTTCTCTAGAGTGGGAGGGAGCGGTATCGAAATATTCACTAGAAAAGGGGGAGCCAGTTCAAAAAAGGTTGGAAACCTATGATGTAGCTCTATATTAGTGTTAACTCGGTGTCAACCAATCTGAGGAGCATTAAAAAGAAATTAAGAACTTGTCTAACGGAATTTCGAATATGCCATTAGTCTCTTTCCCTAGCCGATAAGTAATTAAGCCATTCCATGTTCCTAGAACTGATGAACCACAAAACAGAACCAACACCTATTTAAAGCACCGTTCTTCCAATTTTCAAGTATCTTTTTGTGCATTCGATGTCTGCTGATTCATTACACGGAAGGAATGCGGCGGCGTTATTTATTGTTATTTTTGGAATGAAAACGTCGCCAATAACTCAGGATCTTTATTTTCCCCGTTTTTCTTCGGAAGGGAGTGCGGTAAACAGGAAATCGCGTCACATCACCCAATGGAACGGGGAGACTCTCGGGCGCTAAGGAAACTATATTCTATTGTGTTTCGTAATAGATAGCCCTAGAAGAAGAAAAAGGGTTTAAATGTTATGGAGATGGAGCTGACATGAGTGGTATTTAAAAATGATAACCACTTCCTTTCAGCTGATTTAAAAATTTTTATTTTTTGCTGGTATTTTTTTAAATTTTGAGTAAGGGTCCCATTTTTTTTAATGTGAATTTAAAACAGCTTTATCGCTATTTCGATTGATTTTACAGCAATAAAAAAAGAAAAAAAGTTGTTTTATTATCATTGCAAATTTTTTCAAAACTAACCACCCTATCTATTCTATTTAGGAAATGTAATAGTTGATACACCACTATTATATTTCCTGAATACCTCTCCTTAATCTCATTTTTTAGATAGTGTAAGAATATCAATAACAAGTTATTTCAAAAAAAATTTTAGTCAATTCCTATTAAGATCAACAAAGAAAAAATTTATTTTAGTTACTTTTTGTTAAAAATTACAATTAATATAAAAATATAAAAACATACGACTCTGAATCACAATATTAAGTGACAAAATAGAAAGCGATTTTCGTTGCACCAGTTTTCCATTTTCATTTCTCTCTACAGTCTTTTTTTTTCAAACATTTATAAACCTCGTGCACTACACAATGTATCACACGGGGGCTTACAACACAAAGAAGGAAAGATTACAACATAAACATCCGTGCCTTCTCCGGGATTCGAACCCAGGTCCTACGGCATCGCAATTAGCGTCACTAACAACTGTACCGGATGGGTGGCTATACATAGTGTTGAACTGTTTTTTTTTTGTTACTGTTTATTCATTGGTTAAATTAATTATTCTAATAAAATGGTATAGTTAAAAGAAATTACATTCTCAGAAATTAGGCCATCCCAGGTGGGATTCGAAGCCACGATCTTTGAAATAGAAATCCAATGCGCTCTCCATTGCGCTAAAGGAACACAACGAGCATTTTTCCTTTCCATGTATGGTGTTGACAATAATTTTTTGGTTACTATTTATTCATTATTTAAATTTAATGAATAAATTAATATTTGAAAAAAACTGCATGAACATCAAATGTCATCCACTACAAGTTTTAAAAAAGGTTTTTCAACTTGAGTGGATGAATAAAAAGTATTTTATTAACTATTGCAAATTTGAACAAGATATATTTATATAGCGAGAGTATGAACTAACAGTAGAGGAATTGAAAAATGTCATCTTATTCCAATGATGAGTCCAGATGATTTTTGTATACATTTTTTATTTTCTTGAGCGCCACAGAAAACACACAATCAGTGCAAGGAGCATTACATAACTGATTCTTCAGGCAAATAGCAGAAGAAAAACTCTGAGATGTGATTTGAAGAGTCATCTATCCCGTTTTACAATTAATTTACAACGACCACTCTACGTTCTATTTTAATTTTTTTATTATTGCTACATTTTGAAGTAACACGCTACGGCAGTTGAGTAGTCATGGCGGTGGCGTAACGGAGAATATTAGGACCTCCTGCAAAGTCAGGTTTTGGATCCCAAGCCCGATCTTACAAAGAGTACTTGCTTGGGGCGTTGGTAAGGCTTCGCCCACCCCGCAATGTAGAGATTACGGGGTGAACGTTACTACACTAGGTCATGGTCATGATCTGGTGACCCAAAGGTGTTTCTGTCGAGTCGTGGTTTTGAATCCTAGTGCCACTGAGTGAGTATTTGTGACGAATCCTTGTGCCTATTTGCAGGAACGTCTTAAGATTTTTTAAGGCCCTGGGCCTCTATGCAAAAGTAGGCCCTACCTGAGGTCTTTTAAAGTAGACAGTATATAGCATGCATTTAAACGAAAATTTGAAACAAATATGCCCGACTCTCGCGATCTCAAAAGCCTTGGTACAAACCGGCTCGACCGATGACTGTATTTCGAGTGAACGAGTTGAATGATTGTTTATGGTATTTGGCCTAGGCCTAGACATGGACAAGAGGGGGTTGCCAGCTCAGGTGTCGTTCTCGTCACTTGACGATAGTTCAAAATTACGAGGTCCGTCGCCAAAAAGCCCTGTTGCAGCTTAACAGTACGACGTTAATGTTCCCTCATTCACTCACGAGACATGGACAACGGTCATCACATTATAATACAATCTTACCACTTTGACATGCATTTTGAAATGCCCTGTTTTTCGGAAAATATGTACTGGAATAATACTTGACCATTAAAATGATTCCGATCATGATCTTATTAAGACAGAGTCGAAAACAAAACGAAGCCCTGGGCCCAGTTGGCTCATACCTTAATACGTCCCTGCTTATTTGTGATGAACCTCGTAATTTTCGAATCTCTTTCAAGTGATGACGATGACACCTGCATTGTCATCCCCCTCTCTAAGCTACCACACAACGCGGCAACGGGTGGCAGCGGTAGCCAAATGGTCAAGGTATCGGATCATGGCTAGCGTGTCATGAGTTCGATCCCAGTGCCACTGAAGACCCTCCGTGTAGGGGAGCGATGCATGTTAAATCTGTCGAGAGCTCAAACGTCCTCCCGTTGGTGTGGTGTGGTAGTTAGGAAAGGGGGTGCCAGCTCAGGTGTCATCCGCGTCACTTGACCATGGTTCAAAATTACGCGGTCCGTCGCCAAAAGCCCTCGTGTGACAGACAGTGTGACATTAATATTCACTCACTCACTCCATACCATGCTAACGTGAAAACTCGACATATTTAATGAGCACCAACCTTTCTACACAGCGAATCTTTCGTGTCAGTTCTCGAACTCAAAGCTTGGTAGAAATAATGCCGGCTATGGTTCGCAACTACACTCGATGACCGCGGTCACTTATTGAATCCATCCGTTGTAAATATATTGTAAAAATTGTAATAATTAACATTAGTCATGAAACTCTGATTATGGTTAACTTTTAACGAATTCGAAACGTACAACTTGTAATTCTTTTAATATTGCTTCATAGCCGAAGATAGGACTCTTAAAAATTTCATAAACCAGTTCCTAATACTGAAAAAAAAGTACCTTGAGATTCTTTTAGTTAAGTGCTTCCTGTCGTAAAATTGTGTGGGAGCAGACAAATAAGGGTAGTTGATTTACATATGTCTCAAAGGTCGTCAAATTTCACGATCTGCAGTTTTCACTTATTAGAGAGTCCGTTGGAGGTGAAATTTCGAATTTGTAAAAGGCCGCTTTCGATTTTTCTTTGAAGTTCAGTGCTTCCTGTCTCACACACACACACAAAACTTGAAAGGAATTTCCATATTCTTTTTAGTTAATCCACCGTCGCTGACTTTTATATTCGATACCGATCCTTGGGATTTTCCTTTCGGTTTGATTTACGAAGAATTTTCGTTTCTTTGAATGAATATCCGCTTGTTTTAGAAAATGCAGAACCCCTACAGAGATAATGGTTCAAAAGAGAATCTTGCATTTTTATTACATTTCTAACGCGTGTGCTAGGAGGAAGTTTGTACATTTCAGAAAAATACAGCTTAGTGTTCACGAAAATATTTCAAAAGATTTGTAGTTAGAAATTCGTATTATCCCGCTCGGGGAAATAAAATATAGCTTTAAAAAACTAAAAGCACCCTTTTATAGTTAATCGAACTAAGATGTAACTTAATCTTTTTGTCGCCAAATCTGGAAAATGGGATTTGAAATTAGTCGCCAGATGCGGGATGGAATCTGAAAATTAGAAATCGTTAATCTTGGGGATCTTGATCAGGGCAATGAAACAAAATTATTAAATTATTGTATTGTCATCGGTCCTGGACAAGTGAGCAAAATTTCGAGTTAATCTGACCTTTTTAAAGTGGGTAAAAATTGAGTTCCAAGATTCCGTTACAAACAACTGAAGCTTGTAAAAGAGTGTTAAAAATAGGAATATTTTTCCATTGTAAATACCAGCTGATTTCGAAAACTTTTCAGACTTTTCGAAAAGGTACTGAGATTTCCACAAAGGTACTTTTTTTGGTAAACTCATAAAAAAAAGGGTTTAAACCCCGTTTTTTTTTGTTTTTTTTTTTTGTCTGTTTTTTGCGAAAGTGGAAATAACCAAGAATAAATGCATGGAGTATCCAATTTGAGACAATGAACAATTTAGAAAAACTGTTAAATACTAGTTGGTTGGGGTCTCATCATGAACAATAGTTAAATAGGACGAAAATTCCTATAGACAGCATCCGCAATCTGGATACAGTTATCTTCATAATTTCTCGCGGGGGTTCACGCTGATGTGCTCCATGCTCCAATTTTGCCGGAATGGCAGTGGAAAAGAAAAGATGTTCTGGGTTTAGTTCCGTATCGGGACAGTGTTTGCAGAAAGAGTACAGTAGAACGTCATTTATCCGAATCAGTTGGGACCGGACACCGTTTGGATACGCGATTGTTCGGATTATCGAAAACCGAAAGCGATCCATGCAGTATATGAAACCGGACACTATATGAATATTGAAAATCATCACATGCGGGAAACGTGCTTGAAGAAAAAGCAAAAATAGGTGCAAAATGTCACAATTTTACCTTTATTGTGGAAAATAATCACTTATTTTTCGCTGTACCATTGTACACCTTCGTTTTTTCACTGCAAGGTCTCTGATTCTCTTCAGCAGCAGTGGTTGAAGTAGGACAGCACTCTGATTGTTGTTCGTACCACTCCATAGCTGTCTCTAACGCAGAAAAGCGTCAGCATTTGCTACTTTCGTTGTTATTGTCCTCGTCTTCATCCGTTTCATCGTCGATAGGGTCGGATTCTTCTTGCACGGAAGTCACAATCTCATCATTTTTTAGCATTCGAAATCCACAGTCTTCTGCATCGCATGCCATCCAGGGGTTTCTACATCTTCTTCATCGCATTCTTGAAATCCTGAGATCGATTGGAATCCTACAACTGAATTTCCCCAAGTATCCCTCACCTTGGGTTTTCACGTCACTTTTGGCCTCACGCGAAACAACTGTTGAGCATTGCATTGTTTGAAAACGTATTAGTATACAGTACATGTAGTTGACAAAAAAAAACTGGTCCGGATATTTGACACTCCGGATAATAAACGTTCGGATAAACGACGTTCTAATGTACTTTCTTTTCAGTGCCGGTTTATCCATTGGGCGCTTGGGGGGGGGGATCACCAAGGGCCGCGGGGCATGGATAAGCTGGACTTAAGCAGATTTTCTGGTTATAGATTTTATCCGCCATTACCAAGGAGGCCTGTACATCTTATGGGCCCAGGGCCCGAAATGACCTTAAACCGACACAGATTCTTGTCTCGTTCTTCTGAATCTGCATGAACCTACAGTGTTCTGTCCTAAGCCTTGTTAAGATGCTAGCAGGTTTCTATTAGTATTAATTTTAGGATTAATTACTAGTAATGACTAGTGAGTTTGACAATGAACTGTAACCGAGGTAGCATAGTGGTTATGATCACGAACTCGTGGACAGCGTGTAGCAGGTTCGAGTCCAGTCGCACGGAAAGACCCGCCGTGTAGAGGAGGCAGATGCATGTTCAATCTGTCGAGGCTCAATTTCCATTGGCACTGCGTGATAGCTTGGAGAGAGGTGCAAAGCTCAGGTGTCGTCCCTATTACTGAACCGAGTTTGAAAATTACGAGGTCCGCCTCCAATAGATCTCTAGTTGTGGTTTTGAGAATGCGACGCTAATATAATATTCCATTATATTTTCTCTGTTATCTATAAATTTTTTGCCCCCTCCCTTTTTTTTACTCCTATTTGCTAATATCTCTCCCTCCTCTATTGATAGCAAATTTTTATAAAACATTTTTTTTTACAAAGAATCTTCGATCTTACCCACATTTATCACGGGCCGTTAGAAGCTCAAAGATTCTGCTGCATCTGGCATCTGCTTTAAATTACATCATATTCTCTCATGCCATACTTTTAAACACATCTTTCTAATTCCGTAATTTAGATTGTTAAGAATCTGCAGCGTGTTTTTCTATTTACGCTGT